TAGGATCAGCAGGCAACAGGATCCTCAATCCACCCCTCCCCTCTGCATCTGAAACACCAAATGCATCCATGACTTTTTTTTAACTACATATTTCCCATTTTTCTCCCCCTCTATTTTGAAAGCTATCCAACACTAGTAACCGCAATATTCCTTAAGGCTTCTCTTCCATTCAGTTGCCATCAAGTCAATTCCAACACATGGCAATCTCATGAGTGTCAGAGTAGAACCATGCTCCATCAGGTTTTCAGTGTTTGATTTTTCAGAAATAGATTGCCAGGACTTTCTTCCAAGGCATCTCTTTTGGACTTGAACCCCCAACCTTGCAGTTAACAGTTGAGTGCATTAATCATTTGCATCACCCAGGGAACTCCTTCCTTAATGGTAGACTCCTGAGAATATAAGGAGATCAACAGGGCAACCACACTTATGGAGCTCCTACTGCTCCCAGAGGGAGCTCTGGTAGCATAGTGCTTAAGACACTTGACTGCTAACCAGAAGGCTGGAGGTTCAAACTCACCAGCCACTCCTCAGAAGGAAGGTTGGGCAATCTACTTCTGTAGTGATAACACCTCGGAAACCCAAGGAGGGGTCACTATGAGTCAGGACGGCACATAACAATAACAAAAAGACTGCCCCCAGAACCTAAAAGCAGATTCCTATATGAGGGACTGGAAGACTGGATACATGAATATCCAGTGGGGAGAGAATCACACATACACATAGCCATAAAGACATCAGCATGTACACAGAAACCCTGAGTGCTGTGTGACTTCTTGTTGTGTGCCATCAAATCAATTCCAACTTACACTGACTCTACAGAACAGAATAGAACTGCCCCATAGGGTTTGCTAGGCTGTAACCTTTATGGGAGCAGACACCAGGTCTTTCCTCCCATGGAGCCACTGGTGGACTCAAACCATTGACCTTTTGCTTAGCAGATAAGGACTTCACCCATTGTACCCACCAGGGCTTTTTTGTGACTTCTTAGTGTTCAATAATCATTTAACTAACTGTTCCCAGTATCATGTTAGACACTGTGGTTATGAAAGCTGCTGGTTTCAAGAAGAAAGCTGTCTTTGATTGGAATTTAAGTTCCCTAAGGTATGCTAAGAGATGGGAAGCTTGGTTATTCCACTTTCACATTTGCAAATCTCAATTTGGGGAATATTTTGTTTTCAGATAATCATGTTCTAGCATTCACGATATGAACAGCAACTGAAAGGTATTTCTAGAATAATTCACTGAGCAGTCTTCCTTCCCCCCCACCACTTCCTCCCACCCACCTTTGATTTAAAATGTAATTATTTACATTTAAAATATAAAACACAAAAAGGCATGTTAGAATTTCCAGTTCCAAATGTTTCCTTTTTAAAAAAGTAAAGTGCATTATGAAAATATTTTTGTTGTAAAAAAATAAAATAACCGGGGGAAAAATATTTTCACTTAGAAAAAAAAAATGGGAAATGGCCATGATTATTCTAATGGAATTAATACACATTGGGCGGCAGACAAGGACCACCCTGTGCCAAGGGTACCTACCACCTTTCATCATGCCGACTTCATAGCACTTGCGCAGCCGGCAGGCCTGACAGCTCTTCCTCCTGTTTTTATCTATCGTGCATTGGTTAGTGGC